TAACCTTCGATGTGAAATTAGCACCCATGAATCTGTGCCCCAGATTCGCTTTGGTGCAACTATGGTTGCAGAACATAGACACTCTACGTTTGAATTGGGTTCCAAAATGAACAGTTTACTGCAATTTGCTTTGGACAAGTCATACAGTCATATTCTCATCGCAGTCGAATTTACGTTGCACGATATGCAGACATCGGCGATAGATAGCATGCAATTCAAAGCCTATTTGTAAGAGCTAATACTCCGCTACTGTTTCATCAGATTTCGAACCGCTAACAGGCTATCGATATTTGGTCTCTTGTCAATCAACAAAGAACTTCTGGTCTACGGAATAATTGCAAGCACACCATTGGTCTCAGCGACCAACATACTGTTGGACTACGTATGTTGGGTCGAATATCCTGAAAGGGATGTCAAGCATACCAGGAAATTATCCGCGTCTTTTTGGTAAGCATCCTGGACCTTCTCAACTGTATACCCCCAAGATATCGCCCAAAAATGTTTACAGCACAATTAGGACACTAGTAGTGAAAGTGTTGGAACAGAAATCCTTCCATCATCAGAAGAGTAACAAGTCACTTGAGAAGAGAAACATCCCTGAAAGTATGTGATGGAGGGACACAGCATGGAGAGCACAAATGGACTCCACGTATTCCAAAACCCGGAATGCCTACGTGGCACAGTATACAATTGCTTGAAGTTGATCTACTAGGACAAGATGATATACCATTGTGAGTCAATGAATCGAACCGGAAACGCTTATACAAGCATGTTAATGGCCTTAGTAAGGTGCAGTGCTGAATTCCAACACTGTTCACTACTGACGGGTGCGCGCCATCAGCAACGGAAGGGGCCGATGTCTTGCGGTTCCGTTAATCACATCGGTTCCAGATTGTAATGGGTCCAATGAATAACCTTGTTTCTATTTTTCACCGTTAGCTTAATCCAACAGCATCTTCACTGAAGTAGCCGTGTCAAAAAATTGTCGTCGCTGCGCTTTCACGTTATCCTGTTGCCGATAAGATTAGACCGAAAGCTTTACAGTCAGCAACCGGTGAGCTGGCTGAAACACTGACTATATGCTATCAGCGCTTTTCAGATGACAACTTAATTCTAGCCGCATGGAATTGAAGGATCACCACTAGTATTCCTAAGGGAGGCAGTCGCAATGACCCAACCAATTAGCGTACGACAACGCAGCTTCCTTTGATTGCTAAAACCTATGGAACCAACCATCGCAAATGCACCGATGCATTATCTGGAAAACAACAGCATTATATCACCGGACAAATACGGCTTCTGACCAAACAGCTCATGCAACAGGAACCTGCTAATTGCACGCCACAGCTGAACTGAAGCATTTAGTTTTGGAGCATAAGTCGGTGGCATTTACTCGGACTTCTCAAAAGCGCTTGATCGCATTGACCACGGATGTTTTCATCATAAACTTCATATCTATGACAATTGTGGCCGACTCCTGCGCTAGACCAGCCATTACCTCTATGTAACTTGATTGTAGGTGGGTTTACGAGAATCCCTCTCCGAGGCAATTGAAGTGGAGTGCACTGTGACCCAAGGCATATTGCTTAGGCCTCGACTAATTTTGGTTTTCCATAAACAGTATAGCGAGGGCAATTACGCCCGATTTCCATTTCTTCGCTGATGTTATCAAGATATGGCGATTGATTATGGAACTGGACGACCAAGAAGAGCTTTAGTGTGACCACAACAAGATTTCGAACTGGTCACTTCAGAATATCTAACCATTCAATGTAGAAAATCTTCGCGCTGTTCTTTTACAACATAGGCATGGCGAGGTGTACCGGCTTGGGTCAAAGAGATTACAAACACATTCTTAGGAACGCGAACTTGGACTGCGCATTCAAGTTGACCATTACGATTCAAGTCAGTCAGAGATGGCTGTAAAATAGGCGACCAGCAAGTGGGAATGCTGCGCAGTGCACTCGAGATTTATGACCCATAAATATCCCCATGGTGCAAAGCTCCTACTTGCGCCTTCATGCTGAATACGCCATCCGAGGTTGACAACATTTGTTGAAACGCGACCTGGAGCTGCTGTAGTCACCACAGCGTAGGGCTGCAAAGAATGTCAAGTGTCCACGAAATCTGGTCTACGAAAAGACAGAATTACCTGGAAGTTTCCAATGGACGCTATAGAATGTTGTGTAGCGATCTCAAATTAGTGCAAGGAATATCGTGTGATCTTCATCACGTATTACTTCACTTGCTGAAACTAAGCTATAACAACACTTTCTGCGGCAAACTTTTTAAACAGGGTGAACAATGCAGACGTCTGTAAACCTTGCGGAATTAAGGTTTTCTTCTGGTTTGCCAAACCTGGAACTCTCTTTCAAACTCAAACGACGCTTCGCCCACCTGGGTTCATTCAAAAAGCGATTAAATGTTGCCCTTGGATCCTAGCAATTTGTTGCCTTGAAATATAGTAATCAATATCTGAAAGCAATTAATATTTGAAATATCATAATTAGGCCTTTAATCCGATTGCATAATTCACATGAGCCTAATGAGGCGATAAATGAGCGAGCATTAACTGCCTCCGTGTGGTCTTGTTGGTTGCATACAATTCTCAATTACACTACCAGTATCCAACGGCGCATCCACACGATAGAGACTCAAATAGACGACTCACACACCTTTTGCTGTTGGGGTTTCACCCATACCATCCTGCGGTACTTGTCAAGAGACTGCCATTTTAATCGTGATACATTATTCTTCATTGTTCTGTTATTACTTGGTTTCGCACCGCAAAACCTTTAATAAACTGCAGGGAATTAATGCGCATCAGGTGTGTGAGACCGAGCGCAAACAGATGCAACGTATTGCCATTAAAACCACAAAAATGTGATTGAAATATGTGATGGTAATTCCTTGGCGATTTGAACGGAGTCTCATCAATTTATCTCAAATGCTTTGAGCCAACATGAAGTCAAATTTATCAGAACCAGTGATACACGGTCACCGGTTGAATCTGCTTTAAAGCAGTGAATTTCTCGATGCAAGCAGCTTATTAACTAGAAGAAATTAAGTTTACTCGTCAATTAGCAACTTATTCGCTATGACCTTGATATGAACACGTAGAGCTATTTCAGTTACAGAGAAAACAAATGATTGTTGAATCTGATGGAATCTACAGAATTCAATGGTCATAGTAGCTATGTTGATTACTTGAGTAAACGAAAAAGTCGGATCACTGTTACAACTATTCCTGAGAAGTTTGCCATCACATTGAATAGCTAAATCATCGACAGGTACCGCTTTTTATAAAGTGATTTATTCTAATTTAAATCACTAAATAACAACTGTAGATGTCAGAAACAAGCCAAATGTTTGTACTCAGCATAGCCATCGAAGTATTGTACGTGTTGAAACGGTCTGTTTCGGTATGGAGACGTGCTGCATGGCAGGGCTTACTTAAACTAAGGAATGTTAGCATCGGAAGATTCACACGCGATGGTTTTTGAGCATGTTGAAGCAGCACCTAGATTTTACATCCATTCCGGTCAACATAAATTTCGATGATTGTCTAAAGTAAGAGGGTGTGTATTCTGATGTATTTGTGTCACCTTGTACTTACTCGCCGATTAACCCACCTTAAATGATGATAGCAAAAATTTGAAGGAATGCGCATCATTGTTTTCATGAGATATAAGTGCACTTGAAGCTGTGTCCGACAGAGTATCAGGCCATCTACTTGGAAAAATGAACAGACAACAGTGGATTGTTTCTTACATCTTTCTTTGGTGCTCATATACAGTGCGTACAAGAAGCAAAATGATCGGTCTCATCCACTCTGGGTACAGCTACGATTCTTATAGTGAACAAAATATGTTTCGTTACAATGGTTTGTTGTCGGAAAACAAAGGGAGGATTCTGAATCTCAACCCAGTGACAAGAAATACTTTCCAATACAAGACAAATCAAAAGGTAGGCTAACCGGATGAATTCATGCGGCAAATACGGTCATTTTTTAACTTTTCGGAATGTAAGTGCAACAACCCATTAACATACGCACTCAGCTTCTCAGCTGGAAAAACGCTTTACACTGAAGCTACATTCATTAAAAGTTGTAAAGAGCGATGACAACCCAACTGCGCCTAATAAATGTCACCCTTATTACTAAATCACAATGCTGTTGAGCTGCTGAGACGCCCCCCATAGTTTAGCAAAATTAATTGTGTGTATTGGTGAGCAATCAGTACGCTTGAGGGATACCGCATACTAACATCATTGTTCAACTTTTGGCATGCTATTGTCGACCCACTGTACTAAGTTAAAGTTTCCCTGGCGTAACTATTTTCTACAGAGGATATTTACAGAGATTATGACCTAAGTGCAGCAAACCATACAGCAGATAAATATCTCACTCCCATATGTGAAGATGCAACACCGTAGCAAATTGGTACGATTGGTTACTAACTGCCTTGTGGACTGACAACATTAAAGTACGATCGTTTATCCATTTGCTTATTTTGTTACGACTTCGAAATGATTTGGAATATTTGGAATATTTGTTACGACTGTTTATTTACTTATAGGGTCTTTCCATCTAACCCAAGAATTAATTTGTATTTGTTTTCAGTCGCAGGCAATTTTCACCTCAGGCTAGATAATGTGAGTGTAATAATGCCAAAATTCCTCCCTGGTATGTTTCTGTCAGCAAACACCCACTGCAACTATTCTTCCTTCACGTTCGTTCTTCTTGGGTTCTCCGTAAACAGATACAGTCAGCTGCCATCAAACATGTGGAAGAAATTCAACAGATATCTTCAGATGCTTTCATTGTCAACGTGGATCGTTACAGCAACTGGTCGAAGTGGTCTAAGTGTGAGCGACACAATTGTATTCAAAAGCGCTATCGAGAGTGCGTCGACGATTCTTGGATGAAAATTAATCGCAATAAATACGGGAAAGCAAACTGTACGGCTAGGTTAAATATAGAAGTACGCACGTGCCAAAATATGGCGCAATGTACCCCACCTGGTAAGTGTTCAACTAATGTGAACCCCACACACAATAAATCCCTTGAAAATCGGACATAACTGCAAATGAAATTGAGCATGCCATTCATAAATGTCTCCTTATACTTAAATGTGTTACTATGATGTGAATAGAGGTGTGGTTCATGTGCCTATACGCATCTAAATAATGTGCGCTGACCAAACTCTTTGTAAGACAGACGCAATTACGTACTCACTTTTGTAATCGGTATCCAAAAATGTTATATCTACATGCCATTGCACAGAAATATATGAAGCCTGTGATAAACTTGTGTCCAAGATTTTTCTACTGTTGCAGGATTACTGCATCTGAGGTGTTTAAATTTCGCTCGTTTTGCCAATCGGATGAAGTGGAAAAGAAACCAACCACATATGTCCAAAGTCAACTGGCAACCACTATTATAAATAATACCTTGGGAATATATGAAATATAAAGCTTTAAGTACTAAACATGCATCATTTAATCCTATCTGTTTCTTGGTAAGCTGGGTAGTTATATCGGAACAAATCATCCAGTTTCCCGTTGCCATTCGATTTCTTTTAGTGACAGTTTGGAAATCAGCATCCTAAGTGACAAGCTTCCTCTTAGATGTTAGCAAAGCACTGCTTGTCATTCGCTTAACTTTTCGTGTATACGAAGGTATTTGACAAAAGCTGCATGGCAAAAGTCTAGTTTTCCTAAAAGGATTTGATAACTATGACGCGCTGTCAACTGAGCAAGTTAGGTCACGCATAAGAATCATGTTGTTTCACAGTAGTACTCGCGAATACAATGCACATTCTGACAGTAAATGTTTCCTTAGATTCGCAGAGCAAATACAATTTTAATAGAGCCATTTCCCTGCCTGGATTTCTCAGACTGGTAACCAAATACTTGTGCTTATCCTTTCATTCAGAAATGCTGGCAAATTGTGGCGTTCGACCGGAGGATGTGGGAGCCGCAGCAAATCCACCGGTTCGTTCAAGCACCAAGCCAATCCTTTGGCCTTGGGCCGTGAGTTCAATCATTGTTGTCATAGACTATGTTTGTGTCTTTTTACATGCATTTAAAACACTTCATACATGATTGTGCCAGTGTGGTTTAGCGGGACCACTGCATTTGGAGGGCGAGTAGACACAACCATAATTTCACACGTTAGCAAACGGCAACATATTTATTTTACACAGTTGAAGTGAATGAAAATCTGTGTTGGATCAAATAGTAATCGGTTTATTATTGCACTGCAACATTGACATTTAAGCCCCGATCAAATGAAACTGTGCAATAATGGTTGGATAGAGAGAAAATCAAGGCCTGGTAGGTCCGGTGCGGCGGTCGCCGTGAATTACGTAACTTCAACTATAACCAACAAAAAACGGACAGGCGAATCTGTGCAATCACCATAATATCCTCGTTAATATATATGTAATCTTTATCCAGATTTCTTGGATTTGATGAGCCCAAGGTGGGTTTTTGTATCCACGCCACTCAATGCTATCAATCGAATCTAGAGGTGAAAATGAATAATGTACAATGATTTATGACTGATGGGAAGCATGTATTTGACAATTCCCGTAGGATGATAGGCATGCAAATTATAATGCAAAGGGTCAAATAATAAATAACTCGTAATTTTAATCGTCTACCGGTTTAAATGCACTGCTGCATATCAATCGTGCAACGTAAAGTCGTGCTTTAAAAATAGGTAGCGTGGGCGCCGGAATAACAAAGGTCGAAATAGCGTTCCACGTTTGACAAATTCGAAAGGATAAATAGTTGCGGCGGCATTTCTGCCGACCGTATTGATTGACCAGTTTCAGGTGATGACCACTCAATTTGGTGTTTTTGCTAAGTTTCGGAATGTGGCGACATGCATGACCATTGTTTCTTTGATATGGTACCCAATGATGTGATCGCATCGTCGATGGCGATAATTTCCGCTGCACAACCAGAGGGATTTTGTTCGTTTTGTTATGTCAGGTTGGACAATCCCATCAAGATTTTGGTTGCCCTTCTCTGTGCGTTCTCCAGTTCAACCAGCTGCATTTTAATCAAGATTGCTATGTTGGAATCGCATACTCAACATGGGGCCTCACATTGGCGTTGAGTATATGATGAAAGATGGAGGGCCCGAACCGCCCAAACATTTCCGTATGAGACCAACATGTTGGTTCGCGGTGTTGGATGCCTGCGAGGACTGCGCCGAACGGTCGAGATCGTTTTGCATCACACCCTGATGGTCGCGCTTATGTGAGGCCTTCTTCAACAAGTCGTCTTCACATTACTATGCATAAGTGTGGTAGTGGCGTACACGTACAGTTTAGCACTTGCCTGCGTTACACGAAGTACATCTGCTTTTGACCATCTAGGAGCACGTACTTGTTCTCGTTGCAACATATTGTGATATTCCAGACTAGCGATCGTCCGCCATATCTTGATCTCATCCGCAAAAAGTCGGAAATTCCTTATGCTTATACGCACTAAGACGCTGATGAATATCAAGGTAAACAAGGCCCCAACACTGACCCTTGATATTTTGTGGAAGGATTCGATCATCTAACAGTCGTCTGCTTTAGGTATTTGGGATACATGACATCATGTTCGGTCCCGCTGTTGGCAGTTTGGGTACAACAGACACGCTCAATATTTAAATTGGTTTTACATGACGGACACTGTAGTAATCCAGGCAGCTCCTGTGCGATGCTGTTAGATGTTTCTAGATAGCCCATTAGTGCCTCAGAAATGGTCGACTCCATCACCGTTGATATCACCGAGCGTTGTTGTGCTTTCATTTTATACTATCTTTCCTTGAGTAGGCCAGATATTTTTCCAGTTCAACAGCTGATAAATTGAAATCCAAAGGTTGAGCAGACGGCCCCAGGGTTTTAATGCCAACATATTGTGATACTCCGTGAATTTGTCAAATATAATGGGCCACAATCTTGCGCATAAAACAATGCATAAATTGGAAAACGCTTCTTTGGCAGTGATATGTTCCGCAGGACGTCATCTCCGCTTGTGAAGTAGCACGATTGATTGGTTCGTAAATACGATAATCGCTAGGTTTTGATTTGGTAGCATTGAGTTAGGTAGTAACCTAGTCTTCGTATTCTAGTTACGTGACTAAATATTTACAGATGTTGCGATAATTGTCACAGGTTTAGTGCCTCTGAGTTTACGTTTCTGTCCACCGTTTTACTTAATTTATTAAAGTCGCCAAATAATAATAAGCTTTATGCGCTCATGTTGACGCATTTCTAGTACTTTACACAAGAACTGCGAAATATATTAAACAAAGCATCAATGAAAACTAACCATTGACAGCAGTACAAGGAATGGCTTATGTTTATAATCCTGTTTTTTTCCTCCACGGCTGCTTAAGCAATGAAGTAGGAAATCAGTTATTTGTAAATAGAATGTCTCAGTGGTGACACAGATCAAAACATAGGCTACTATAGTCCGTGAGATGTTTGCTTAGGGCTGACAAGTCTTCATTCGTGAAACCCAAAATATCAGTTGCAATTAGTTTACCTTTCCTTTCACCTTTTGCCTTTCTACTCTTACCTGATGAACGATTCCATTGCTTAACAGTTTTGCACGGTCTCTTTATCAGCGTAACATAATGCACATTACTCAATAACACGAGGTGAATATTTATTATATAATGCTTAAAATTATCAAGGGTTGCGCGCTTATAAATAGAAAACAGCTCGCTTTTCTAGTCGAACCAAATAGATGCGCATGGGTCTGGTGGAGAAATTCCTTGAAATGGATGAGCCCGTGAACTTAATGAACCTTGTGTCACCTTTATCGTCGTATCCTGTGAGAACGCTACGGATCTTTCTAAATTGGATATAACACTAAAGCATGGTGCTCTGCAACATTGTATCTCGAACGGAACTATGTTTAGAGCTATATAGACGTACCAACTAGGAGAGTTATGTAATCGCACAGCTAGATTGGTTTACATCCAATAGACGACAGCTTAATTATCTTATTGACTACGGCGAAATCCTTGAAACGGATTTACCACGACTATCATTATGTATGTTGAAAACACCTCCACTGCGATGTTGTAGTTCTCTTAGGCGGCTATATCTAAGGTGGCGGTCGCAACTTAGATTAATGGGTCAAGCATTCATTTGAGCATGCAACCAAAGGTTTGCAACATCACTATATGTACATTGAGAAATTCTCTTCACTGCAAAATATTAATAAAATGGTCAACTTTCCGGATACCTTAGCGTAAATTTCTGGAAAGGGTAACGGAAACTTTGCTCTGTTTATGAGAGAGCGATAAAGTTCTACTTGCCAACAAGCACGATGGACTTACATTCTATCCTAAACTTTTCTTGACTATTCTTCTGAGGTTATTTACAATCTTGTTGCCGTACCCAAAAGAGCCGCTTTATTTATTGACGCCGGATTGATTGATTCGTGGTTAAAATTACCAGAATACTGGCTGGGTGTGATGGAGAGTAAGCACTGCAGTCAGGATGAGGGTTTGTTTGTTTAATGCGCTATGGGAAACAAAGAATCCGAGGTGCTTTTTGATAATCATGATGATTATGCATCATTATTTAAGGTTAGAATGGAGGAATACTTTGGTATTAACACAATTATTTCCTCATTGTGGTAGGGCAGTAAATTAAGCAGCAAACACTTCAACGCGGGATAGATTAATTTGCAAAACGGCTTAGTGTAGCATATTGTTTCGGTGTATACCTTGAATATTGACAAGAGTGCACCATCGTGGTCGCATTCACCGGTGGATTTTAAACACAGCAACCAATGTGCAAGTTCCTGCAACCCGCCAACTTGACGACCTCTGTTGTTTTGCTAGCTCAAATCAGCAACATTATACGACAAAGTGGGTACGAATCTAATTGGTTCACTAAAACAAAGGATATAATAATTTTACAAGTACATAGCAGCTGTAGTGTGTAGTGTAAACTACGGAGACGGCACCACTGAATCATTTGCAGGCTCCTCCAATGCAAGTGGATAATATCAGTTTTTTGTTGTTCTGGACAACAATTCGATAACAAATTGTTTGGGAAATATCCAGTGACTTATAAGTTCATCGGAAATTTGGTATCCTATATTTCTCTAGAACAAAAGACCATCTGGTGAGCAATTTCTTTCAATGATTCATCATCAGTCCATTACAATCATATAGAGCATAGCCCTCTAATACCTAATTCGTTTCCTCTACTCTAACATAGACCTTCACGTGATCACGTGATTTTGAACTAACTGGGTAGACTTCTCATTCTAGCCTCCATATGATTGTAATGGTCTGATGATGAATCATTGAAAGCAATTGCTTACCAGGTGGTCTTCTGTTCTAGAGACTTAGATGGGAATTTAAAATTTCGCTTAAATTCTCCTATATTTCTTTTTTCCATAATTCAGTCGGTCCTGGGATTTAACAGCCGAACGCAGCTGTGGTGCAATGTGGTTTCCTGAGAAGTTTCCTCGACCTAGCAGCTGAAGTTGTAATCCTAAGGCAGTTTTTGAATTATATTGTGTATGGCAACTAAGGCTTGTAGGTCTGTTGGGATTTAACGGGGTTGAAGCTAGATTACACAAATTGCTGCTATTTTTGGTGAGAGTTGGATATGCGAGCATGGGATGTGCAATAGTTGTCAACATAACAGACAAGCATAGATCTCTTAAACATTGGAGAGGAGAAGGTCCAACACCCAGCTCTGGTAGGGGCTAATAAAATCATACAACCTTCGCCACAGAACACATTAGGATTGGGGAAGAACTTCGGTGAACTAAGGGACTAGGTGTCACCAGCGCACTGATATCGGCGTCATAATATTCACACGACAGCAAATCAAAAAACGAAGGATGACGTTTTGTGGGTCTTCAAATCCGACAGCTGTTTACAGATGACCATGTATTGTTCCATATGCAGTGTGGGCATTGAGCTTCCCGGTTGCCCAGGCTGAGGAAGCGTGTCGATTTAAGGGACCCCACTCGAAGCCTTTGGTCTAAAGACCTGACCCGCAAGACAGTGAGGCGATTCACGAAGATCCTTAACAGTCAAATGGCTTATTCGCCTTCTTTGTGTTCGGAAGCAGTCTACCGATAAGCCGGTTGCCAGCGAGGTTGTTCATCAGCTACCCGTTAGGTAGTCGCCCCCAGATACAGGGGTGAGGGGTCACTGACCATATAGCCTGAAATTTCCATCCATTCAGGTGAATCACACTTTCTCCTTTTTGTTATTGTTACCCTCGTGTTTGGCTCGCTGCAAATCATTTATTGGACAAGTGATATATATATATATATATATATATATATATATATGACTGTCGTTTCAGAAATTTGCTGAAGGGTGTTGTGAAGCAAGGTTGGAGTACTTCTTACCCGCTAACATTTTTGGAAGGTGTGAGCACAAAGCTATAAAATTTAGAGGAAGTCATGCTGAAGAAGTAGCAGAAAATTGGCACAAAACGTCTATAAAGGTACCCTTTTTCAGTTTGATTTGGATTTCTTCCTTAGGAATGCGTTATAATTAGCGATGAACATGGCGAAAGTTTGCGCCAAGAAATCTCGATAATAAAACAAAGATACCAGAGCAATTGGCTGAATGCCGCTGGACACTCGCCAGAAATGCTCTTACAAACAGGCAACGAGGCCAATGAAGTATTCTAGGAACTAATTTTGTAAATGTTTTAACCGTGTCATATGTAAAGCATCGTTACGTTATTTAGCAGCGTAAATAGTTATTGCAGCGCACAAAGCAACCAGACCAATCTTGAAATTTGTCCCATACTTGTGTTCAGTACACAGACATTGCAAGACTTGCCTAGTTTTAGTTTAGTAGTATGACTTATGTAAACATTTGTCCAATGCAATCAACTTACATTGGCTTTATAATTTTCTGATCTATAGTGATCTCAGGCTAGTTTTAACCCAATTTACAGGTTCGTTTGTCGATAAAATGGACAATAGAGAGCAAAGAAATTTTGTGCGGCGGAACGCTAATTGGTCCCCAGTGGATTATCACCGCTGCGCATTGCGTCACTGAATGGCTGGCTATGAACTTGCTTATGGAAACGAATGGGGACGCGGAATTGAATAATGATACTATACATGCATATGTTGGTGACATTGACATGCAAACGGGAGAAGAGTATTATCAAATATACTTGATACAAAGGGTAATCTTGCACCCGGCTTTTCAACCGGGTAGAGAGAACAACGGTGCCGACATCGCATTGCTGTACATGAAAGAGCCAGTTGCAGATTGTAAGTCTCAACTTGATTTGAATGCATCATGAGATGAGGTTGGGTTAACAAACTTAGTGTGGGCGACGCCTTTGCACGATGTGTAATTCAAAAGACACGGTTGCCGAGTGTTCTAGTTACTTTTGTACTCATTAATATTTGCGGTGTATGTCATTTTCGATGCTTCCTAAAATGTGTTCACCCGGAAGCTACCTTTTTGGTCGCTTTTCACTGGACGTTACAGTGTCTGGCCTACTTCATGGTGGCATAAATCAGTTGCAAAACCTGTGGTCACTAAACGTCAGCTAATGCTAAGTATGCCTTGTGTATAGAACCACTGACAATTCATTTTCATTGTCGGAGCGATTGACCGCAAATAAATCAGCAGGGCAGCAGAAATTGTTTAAGCAGTAGACACTGTTCGCGCATGAGGCTTGTTTTAACTACATAGGCCTAATGAAGATAATTTACTATTTTTAATACTTACTTATTATTGTAATGGAGCCTCTTGTGCTCTGAATCGACAGCAAAAAGTTAGTATTTCTCTCATTGTAGGTGTCAGATATCGGTTTATCGAATTAATGAATGATGGAGATGCATTGTTAAATGCAAGCCATTCATACTGCAGCAGATGCGCTCCTATCAACATAAGACAAAATTGGTCTGCATTCTGAAAAATAGGGCGAAATGAGCCCTTTCTGCATGTATGTCAATAGTCTTACAGCTGATTTTAAAGTTGGATTAATGCCTTCCGTCTTACAGGCTTGCGTTAAGTCCGTGGGGGCTGCACTAATTTTTTGAAGACTTATGTATATTGGAATACTGTGATTAACAGCTTTATTATTTATTTCAGTGATGGTTATCTCGATGTGTTCGATCTGTTAAACGACATTTTCCCTATCACATACGTGCACATTTTATTGACAGAGCAGATTTGCTGTGATGATTATTGAATGAATTGATGAACCCGGCTCAGCTGTTTGTAGATTCGCTCATTATGGAGAATATTTAATTGGGAAAGCTGTGGACAGTGGGTACTGAGGCTTATACCTCAAAAATGTTTGTCTGCTTGGATTAACGTACATGAAACATGGTCTTGATTGTTGCTTGAATCTGGCTTCGAAGCATAGCGTTGATATTCCACTGAGACCTATATTTCAACCTGAACCGAGAAATGTGTAACTGCTTGCTTGTGCACAAATTACCGAGGCCGAATGCAGCTAACCGGTGATAACTACAAGTTAATAAATCGAGCGCTGTCAGACTTCCGAGTACGGGCCCTAAATTGCTACTTTTCATTCCTAAATGGAATGTGACGAAGTTCCCGTGCGACAGTGCTTGATTCAACGTTGATTAATGTATGGCATTAGCAGTGAGGCATCGCCAACACGCCGGTACGCAGTACCGAAACTTTGCTGCCACAAAGCAAAAGTAGTCGCGCTTACACTAAGGCTACTGTATTGGTCGCCTATTAGGCACGCACGCTTGAACCGGTGACCTCGGAAGTCTTGGGATTCATTAACGCTACTGACCGACAATCTTTGCATGAAAACAGTAAAACCGTCTGTATTTTCTCTTCTATTGTGCACGTTTGTGCCCATATGGCCTACTGATCCAAAACAAGTCAAATGCACAAACACATAGGTTACTTTTGACACGTTTGCTATTGTGGTTTATGATGAGTAGTTAGGAGTTTGGTATAAATCAGATAATCCATCATGGTCACTCTCAGTCGGCAGGCTTTGGCCAGTCTGGAAAAGCAGTAGACATCGGCTTTTTGAACTTCAATGTCTCGGCAGTGGTTTGCCCTATAGCGGACACTTACAGGGTTCCGCCCCCATGAATATTGGATGCCAGCTACTAGTGCCCCTTCACAATGGGTGACAGCCGCGGACCTGTATGATTGACGGTTGAGTATAATATAGCCCGACTCACCGTCCACCGTCATACCGGTTATGGACTGTGCAGGGGACAGCAGCTACGCCCACGAGCTAGGCCTCTTTGCCTGGTGAATTGGCACGGCACGAGGACTTTAAGTGTAATGGGACAGATTTGATATTACTAAAGTGTACTGGGGATGTTGTTAGAATTCAGACACATCATCATGGTCCCTCTCAGTCAGCTGGCTGTGGCAAGTCTGGAAAAGGACCAGACACCAGTGTTTCAACATTCTGGGTCACCTCAGTGGTGCGCCCTCACGCGGACACTGTTGGGTTTCGAACCATGAATTCCGAATGCCAGTATTTAATGCCATTTCGCCATGCGTGAGAGACGCAGACGTGCGAGGATGTACCTGCGATTTGTTAGCAGTGAGTAGCTTCTCATTGGTATTAAACCGTGGTTTGCCTAGCTTATTTGGATTACTGCATGTTTGTGGATGTTGGTTTGCTTAGACTCAAATCGCAGCAATCCGATCTATCGCAGATCCGGAGATTAATTACGCCTGCCTGCCAAATGAGCTCAATCTTTTGGAAAACGGTGCTGAATGCCACGCTATTGGATTTGCCACCGGTCACGTCATGAATGTACAGAGCTTATTGAGAGGCGCGGGACACTCAAGCACTACACATCATATACGTCAGACAAATGACGATGAATGGAACCCGGACAAATTGCACCAGCTCAATCTGACTGTGTTGAGGTCCCAGGAATGCAAGAAACATTACAAGAATCTCCGCGAACAGATGGTTATTTGCGCAGCTTCAAAGGGAAAAGTAAGCAAATGGTGAAAGTTTAGGTTAACGTTCATATTTTGTCCCAAGCTATACGAATGCATGTATTAACAAAATCAACCAAGTGTCGCTTAGTAAGTTAATCCATTGGACTTGAGAAATCTTTGTTATTCTTCTGTCACTTGAACTGAGGTGTTGCAGAAATTACGACAGCAATATCAGAATAAACGTTCAACCTTAACTGAACAACCGTAGCTGCAAACGCACGTAAGCTAAACAAAGGGCAATTTTCAACAGATTTTAACAAGAGTGCAAGACAAGTGGCTAGTAAAGTTAGCCGGATTGTGGTAAAATACGGTGCTTCTTATTAAATGCAACAAGTAAAGATGGACGCCATTTAGCGTCAAAGAACGGAAAGCAAATGTCGGTGTCACAGACACTTCCGAACCTTTCTGTCGAGGTTAGCTTTTCAAACACAGGAGTGATTACGAATATCTATCGACGCGCAATCTGATGTGTGGCCAGCATAATCTTTAAACTCAAATAGCCAAGAGGTAACGCGCACTAAATATATGTGAATGAGTAATTGGAAATGATGCTTCTGGTAGATATGCTGTAGTTTTCGTATCCCCTGTTACAATGTTGAATAGTTAAGAATTTTTGTTTTTTGTGTGGAAAACACCCTATAACATTGACACATTTTTCCATTAGGAGTCAGTTCTTAAAAATCACTGGTATAGTTAAGGGGCAAATAAGAGACAAAAATGGATAGCCCCAAAGTACATATATGATTTACTGATGCTCCAAACTAATTGTGCAAGTCCTTTTCTCAAAGGTTTTTGTGCTCGGGCTTCGTTTCTTCCTGTAGGACATCAGGACTAGCCCATAAGCGAGCTCGAGAAATAACCTGACCACAATTTGCTATGATTTGCAATACTTCAGTGCTCAAATCTACTTGCGCACTTTTAGGCGTATAAGCGCTTTAGCATTACTGGACATGTTAGAAGTTTCGAATGTGGCCACTCATTAGTAAAAGCAGGTACCCTCGCGCTTCATTTATTTATTATGATAGAAATGCTTGGACTAGATGGAAAATGGCCAAACGACTTCAGATATCTTGAACATGCATCGACATCATAAACACCACGTAAATAATTGCTGTCTACATTGTATTGCCTTTTAGTTATTGCAGGAATTGTGCGCCCCTGATAGCGGCAGTGGATTATACTGTCAGTTACCTAAAAAGAACAGATGGTTCATTGCCGGTGTTGCAAGTTTTGGAGATATTCATGCTTGCGGACAGTTCCCTGGAGTTTACACATCAGTCGTTGCCTATCAAGACTGGATTTGGCTAGAAATCTCCAAAACAAAACGGAATCGAACTTAGAAACATAGAGAGTTTACTGCTCTTTTTGCACATGTTAAGCGCGGAAGCAGGTGATGTGCGCAGAAACATGCAAATAACTTTTCTTTTTTATTTTGTTTCATCATACCACCGAGAACAAATGTGCTGGTGAAGTTTGATCGACTACACAAGCGGACATATGTTCCGGGATGATCGTACTGGACAATTTACTTGCTTGTTAGTTAAATGAAATGAGTTCATTTCCGCCAAAACGTTATCGTTATAATCCGAATTAAAGCACGTTATAATGAAATGTTTAAGTTCTATTTCATGTGTTTGACTGGGTAAAACGAATTTCTCTAGATGCGGTGTGGACATTATCAGCTAGATGTCTGATAAACGTTGTTGAAGATTTTGTATCTTATTCACCTTCTATGACGTGATATAATTACGGTGAATTTTCTTGCGACACCCATTTGTCAGATGCATCAGGTCGTCGAAAAGTGCGCTAGGATATGAGGAGGATTCTACGACGAAAATTTGCATTTGACTTACGTTCTGTACTCGTTTGGTGAAATTACGTTTGCGATAGCAATGTTCGATACATTTGCACCGCGTGTATCAGCAAATGCAAAATGAGGGCTATATAAGGTTTTCAGGCAAATTTCGTTCGGATATGCCAGAATAAAATAATCAACACACAACGCATTATGGTTTGGCAAATCAATTCAACAATCTGTTTTGTGAATCCATAAAAGGTTGATATTTAGCTACAATGTACCCTTTAATGCACATATAAAAATAAGGAACGCTATAACAAGGAAACCATGGTATGTGCCAGCCGAAATAACGGATGCTTAGCAAGTCCCGTAGGATGGCCAAAAAGAGCACCGCAACATAGTGAATAGAAAAAGCTGATAAAACGAGGATCACTTTTGTGGACTCAACGCATTTTTAGCACAGAGACACGCAGAAAGGCCAAACTCAGTTGCTTACATTAATTCTGGTTGTGCAACTTTGGTGCATAAAATGGTCTGCTGAGACATACAGGCTTTATCTGGTAGTATAGATGGGTTATGGCAACGTGAAATCGCTTTAAAACACAGGGACGAAATTAACGTAATTTGAGAGGGCGTTCCACTGCTGACACACAATAAGAGAATAGTAGATCCATCGACATTCTAGACGTGTTTATTGCGTGGCGGCCTTAAACTGTAGGCCCCCCTAATTCGTGGTCTGTCAGCAATTAAAAAAACTGGATAACGTCAATGCCGTTTGGTACTGCGTTCTTGATTGACTTAATTCTGATCCCTGACGAAACGTGACAAACGGGAAAAACTGACAAAACGTAATTCCGTGTGCGAGTATGAGTGGCTACTTACATTTGTCTGCTGGTAGAAGTCAGGATACATTAGGAAAATAAACTATGGAGGTGTGACTGGCATCAGTGTGATTTGGACGCCACAGAATCTCAGGAATGAACCTGATTTAGCACGATGTCCTCAGTGAACTCCAACATTTAAATTCTGCTTCATTCAGCATGATGCTTAGGTGACCTGTATATCATATTGGATTATTCGTTAAAAAGATTGATATATTGGAGGTGAGCAATATGTCCAGTGCAGTAATATACAAGTGGTGAAAAACCGTAAAGTCCAAAAGGAGGCCCGGATGCGGACCCCAGTCCGCTGAGTTATACCATTCGTTTTCTTACTTAGTGAAATTTTCGTTCACGGAATATGACCATGTGAAATCACGATTTAATGTAATAAATATATATTGTACTGCTGTAGAGAAGTTCAGACCGGCATCGTCAATAGGAATGTAGATTTTCGAACGCATTTTCAGGACGATGATAAAACGAGGTTCAGGTGCAATAACTTCAGCGCTGTGGCTTTATCATTTGTGTTGAGATAATTGCTGATTTCGCATGGTAAATCAAGCCGGATTTTGACGAAACAACGTGCCTGTAACATAAGATCTGAGATCGATAAAATCGGAGTAATTATCGCCCTACTACTACAATGCTCACGAAATTTTAAGCAATCACAAACCCGTGTTTGGCCTAACGCTTGAAATCTCATTTTCACTGCGGTAAAATGACTGCATCCAGAACCTTCTGATTCTGTAGTAACGCACAGGAGTCGTTACAAATCCCTAATGACCGCCCCAGCGCGGAAGCAAATACATTGTGTACTAACGTAGTGACCTAAAATGTACGACAGTTTGGGATCCGAAGTTTGTGTAGCGCTGTACCCGGCCTAGGAACAACGAATTGTGCTCTATGACTGTTGTTAACTGTTTTAACCATACACTTCAGGAAGTGATTCGTGCTCAATATCCGTTTTGTATGTAGAGACGCTGCGGGTACGAACGTGTCTTCATACAGTGTGACTTCAGTGTAAACGGGATGGAGCTACCAGCACAAATTATTAAACAATTCATTGCAGGATTGTATGCATCTAGCTTGAAGATTTTCTTGTAAAACCATATCGCATAACCCATTAAGTTCCATCCTTTCTTAAACTTGTGCTGGTTACCGATTGATGGATTGTAATAGTAAGAATACCTGTGTAGCTGCATCTATAATCCCTCAGGTTTACTGACGAGCTGCTTTGGCGATCAACCCAGATATTTCATGAAGATAAATTAATATTAAAAGAATTTTAAATTCTGATCTTGAATTTACTTCGACTATCTACGGCGACACCTTGGTCCATATTTTGACCACTCTCCGTTCGAAGCAGATTTGGTGAGCGACGCGTTTCAAATCTGGTACTATAAGCTTTTACCGGTGCCCTCGTGTGCTGCTTGGTGCGGGCATATTGGAGCAGCGGCCACCACACGTGGTAATCACGAAAAGTAAAATAGCCGGCGCGTCGTGATTAAGTCAACTTGATCGACGGTAAGACAGGGACTAATGCTAGCCTGTTGCAACGGTCTTCGTACGGCACACCGCGTAACGTAGTGGTCACATGCTGTGGTCGCTCAATCATTTGCACTTGGTCCCGGGTGATAGGACAGTGTGCGGGTGAACCACACTCATAACAGTAAACATATAATTGAGACTAAGAGTCGAGTGACAATGTGTTCGGACCAAACGCTGACACTACACTTGAGCGGCCAATATATAGGAATCCGGTATTGGTAAAAACATATTTGTGACGTCCACGGACTTTAGGTTACACCGTGTGCAGTGATCATCTTGGGAGCCGTTTTACCGCGACCGCTGGCTGCTGTTCGAAGTTCCGGCGCTTTTATGCTTTCGCCTTTTGCAGAGCTTTAACTGTCTCTTGTACGCCTCATAATCTTCGTCAGAGTCAGACAAAACTAATATATTCTATTATCCGCTTTGCCGCCCAGCTAGATAGTTAAAGTTTTCTAACCAATGTGGCTTAACTGGTCCGACTTCCGGATAGTTGGGGTGGACAATTATTTCACAACCTCTTTAATGATAATCCAACAGTATTCAACAGATGAATATTTTGGCTGGCGGCCCGAGTTAAGCCAGTCTTTCAATAATTGTTATCTTCCTCCAGCGGAGCAGATTAGGGCTGCGATAGCTCCAACCGGCTATAAGTGGTCACTCGAACTCAGGGGCTGCAGGAAATAAATGTCCTACACATGTTGTTCACAGATGCTGAAGAACAATTCGGGGGCAAAGGGATGAGCGTCAGCCGATTCATATACTACTGTTTAGCTCCCGTGTTAAGTATCATGTTTGCATACATGCTCTAGAGCTCATGATGACCTAGGAGAACTTCGATCGCAGACCAGTGTATTCGAGTTAATTTGAAATCGCTCAGCAGCTCGAATTGCAAACGGCTTACATAATTTGGATATGTGACAAGCAGTCCTAGCATGGGCTTAGTTGGTTGTGATAGACTACACCCATTAGACGCTTGTTGCGTCTATGAATAGGAGACTATAAAAATGCTCACATAGACCATCGGCTTTTTGCTAACTGCCCACGAATCTCCCCCAGAAGGAGGAGGCTATATATAGCACCACGCAACCACGGTCGTTTGATGGCTCATTACAGCTGAAGCACGATTAGCCGCTGATTTATACTTGTTAAGTATTTACGTCGTAATTTAAGAAAGTTTCAGCAGCCACTAATACGTCTGGTAGCCGAGAAGTGACGAAGTAGCAAAGTTTGTCAAGTTTCATTGGCAGACTTCAAGCGTTATCAAACAATACACATAGGCCACGGATTGGAACATTTTGGCCCATCTGGAAAGTCAGCAGTCTGTTGATCGGGATCAGAGAAGGAACCCAAATACATACCCGCAAATTTATTATGCAGAAACTCTTTATTTTACTGCCCTTGCACCGTTTTAATTCTTTCATTAAGATCTTAATTTTCTCTCTGTCCGCCGGATTCAGATCAGCAACCTCGAAGATCTTAAAATCCTTTCAGTCTATCGGGCCAGTTTAATGCCAAATTTGGGCTCGCCTCCTCCATAAATTGTACCCATACAGGTCAAAATTTAGCGCTGACTCTCTTTCCGAGAAACAATTTCAGCCCACCGTCAAATACGTCGAGCAGTCTATAATTCAAACTATGTACAAACGACATCGTTTTCGTAGCGTACCTGAAGGCTGGAAAATAAAGATGCTGGTAAGGGAAATGTCATCAGGTTGCGGTGCCTTAATCACTGGACATCAGTAACAGCTTCTTTGCCATTTGATTCTTTCACCTTTTTATTATCACACAGCTTATCGCACACTGGAGATATAGTGTCCGTCGAAGAATTCGCAGGAGACGAAACCGATCTTCTAGATGTGCCAGGGTTTTGCTCCTGGGACAAACTATAATAGGTTGCTGTTCATCTACCCGCGATGCAAAATAAATAGAGCGGTGCGTTTTACGGTGTTTCGATCTGTTGATTTATTTGCCGGAATTTGCGGCTTCATTTGGTGCAATGTTAGCTGGGCACTATTCACAACCAGTTTCGCAAATGACGTACCAAATATTCGAATGATGCGAAATCGGTACCAAGATAGACAAGTGCACGAAGTGTACAACGTTACGTTGCACA